ATAACCTTTGTTGGCAATAACAGAGGTCAAACATTTACTATAGTCTTTACCAGGTTTGCACACACAGTAGCTGGTATTTTGGCCCATTCCTCCATGCAGATCTTCTCGAGAGCAGTGATGTTTTGGGCTGTCGCCGAGCAACACGGACTTTCAACTCCCGCCACAGATTTTCTATGGGTTGAGGTCTGGAGACTAGCTAGGCCACTCCAGGACTTTCAAATGCTTCTTACGGAGCCACTCCTTTGTTGCCGGGTGGTGTGTTTGGATCATTGTCATGCTGGAAGACCCAGCCTCGTTTCATCTTCAAAGTTCTCACTGATGGAAGGAGTTTTGGCTCAAAATCTCACGATACATGGCCCCATTCATTCTGTCCTTAACACGGATCAGTCGTCCTGTCCCCTTGGCAGAAAAACAGCCCCATAGCATGATGTTTCCACCCCCATGCTTCACAGTAGGTATGGTGTTCTGGGATGCAACTCAGTATTCTTCGTCCTCCAAACACGACGAGTGAGTTTATACCAAAAAGTTCTACTTTGGTTTCATCTGACCACATGACATTCTCCAATCCTCTGCTGTATCATCCATGTGCTCTCTGGCAAACTTCAGACGGGCCTGGACATGCACTGGCTTCAGCAGCGGAACACGTCTGGCACTGCGGGATTTGATTCCCTGCCGTTGTAGTGTGTTACTGATGGTGACCTTTGTTACTTTGGTCCCAGCTCTCTGCTGGTCATTCACCAGGTCCCCCCGTGTGGTTCTGGGATCTTTGCTCACCGTTCTCATGATCATTTTGACCCCACGGGATGAGATCTTGCGTGGAGCCCAGATTGAGGGAGATTATCAGTGGTCTTGTATGTCTTCCATTTTTGATGATGCTCCCACAGTTGATTTTTTCACACCAAGCTGCCTGCCTATTGTAGATTCACTCTTCCCAGTCTGGTGCAGGTCTACAATACTTTTCCTGGTGTCCTTCGAAGCTCTTTGGTCTTGGCCATGGCGGAGTTTGGAGTCTGACTGTTTGAGGCTGTGGACAGGTGTCTTTTATACAGATGATGAGTTCAAACAGGTGCCATTCATACAGGTAACGAGTGGGGGACAGAAAAGCTTCTTACAGAAGACGTACAGGTCTGTGAGAGCCAGAGATTTTCCTTGTTTGAGGTGACCAATACTTACTTTCCACCCTGATTTACGGATAAATTCTTTACAAATCCTACCATGTGATTCATGGATTTTTTTTCAATTCTGTCTCTCACAGTTGAAGTGTACTCTGGTGCAAATTACTGACCTCTGTCATCATTGTAAGTGGGGAACTTGCACAATCGGTGGCTGACTAAATACTTTTTTGCCCCACTGTATATGTATGTATATGTGTATGTACATATGTATATGTATATAGATAGATACACATATAATTAATACATTAAAAACATATGATTACTAGATAGTGGAAAGGGGTGGGATTGAATAAGCGCATGCTTCCTCCTGCTCCTTTTTGAACATGGAAGTTATTCGTAGTTGTGGTGCTCGTTTTCCTTCTGTTTTGCTTTGTTCGTTTGTCTCTTTTTATTTTCATGTTGTTTAACTTCTTCAACATATTCAAATAAAGATTCAATCAATCAATCAATCAATCAATCAATCAATCAATCAATCAATCAATCAATCAATCAATCTTAGCAATGCTAGGTAAATCTTTATTCAATTCAATTCAATTCAATTCATCTATATAGCACTCTTCACAGGATAAAAGCCACAAAGTGTTCACAGTAATATAAAAAAGAAATACATAAAAAACAAACAAACAAACATCAACCCCCCCAAGCACAATCAACATACAGCACAAATCTAATTAAAAGCCAATCTAAATAAATGAGTCTTAAGCTGCTTTTTAAAAGAATAAATACAATCAAGGCAACGTAATGATGGAGGGAGAGCATTCCACAACCTGGGGTCCACCGCTCTAAAAGATCTATCTCCTCTGGTTTTAAAACGTATTTGGGGATTACCAAGAGCCTTTGATTAGATGATCTCAGGCTGCGAGAGGGAGCGTGGGTTCTAAATGTAGGCAGGGGCATCACAATTCAAAGCTTTAAAAGTCAGTACCAAGATTTTAAAATGAATTCTAAAATGTACTGGAAGCCAGTGTAATGAATGTAAAACTGGTGTAATGTGCTCTCTTTTTCGTGTCTAAGTTAAAAGCCTTGCAGCAGCATTCTGGACTGACTGGAGACGGTCCAGATTCCTTTTGCTTAAACAAAGAAAAGGCTGTTACAATAATCTAAGCGAGATGATATAAAAGCATGAATAACCATTTCTAACGCAGATTTAGACAGCAAAGTTCGAAGTTTGGAGATGTTTCTTAGCTGAAAAAGGCAGTTCCTAATTAACTGTCGAGAGTATTGTTCTCGGGACATGGCAGAATCAAAGATCACACCAAGGTACCTGATGCTCAGGTGAACAGATGAGCCAAGAGAACCAAGATGCTGTTTGATTAGAGATATCAATGGTGTCAAAGGCAGATGTCAAGTCCAACAAAACCATGACTGAGGATGCTCCGGAGTACATGATAATGTCACTAGAGACTTTAAGTAATGTGGTTTCTGTTGAGTGACTTTTACAGAAACCTGACTGAAATTTGTCATAGATTTCATGTTTTTCTAAAATAGAAGTAAGTTGATCTGCAAATACTTTTTCCAGAATTTTCGACAGTAATGGGAGCTTAGAGATAGGCCTATAATTCTTAAGCTGAGTTGGATCCAAACTGCTCTTTTTTAATATCAGCTCAACAACAGCATGCTTACAGAACCTATGGACCACACCTGTTGAAAGAGAGGCATTGCATATCTCTACAATGACAGAGAGAGCATTTTTAAACAGCCCAGCAGGTAGAATGTCATTTGCACAAGTGGTAATTTTCATTTTATCCAGCAGGAGTGAAAGGTCATGTATGGTCATTGGGTTAAACACTGACATTAAATGAGGGGGAGGTGGCCCAGAGACACAACAGACAGTATTGAAGAACCAATGCTCATACGGACATTATCAACTTTATCCACAAAGAAATTCAGAAGTCATCACTCTCAGATATGGAGGTCACGGGTACTGGGTGGACCACGGGGGAAACAATAGAGTTTATGGAGTTAAACAGTACCTTGAAATTTCTCTTGCTTGATGAGATTAACTGAGAAACTATCCTGATCTGGCTGTTTTTATGGTTTCATGTAGGGAAACCCAAAGTTCCCTAAGGTGGAGCCTGTGAACTTCGAGTTTAGTTGATTTCCAAAGGCGTTCTACTTTCCTACAGATTATTTTGACCTTCCTTATGTCATCATTTATCCATGGATGAGCTCTTTTTGGGCAGCAATGACAGATTTCATAGGTGCCACTGAATTTAAAATCTCCAAGCAGTGATTGTTAAAACACTGAGTAGCAACATCAGCATCAGTGCAGCCACTGATCACATAACGGTCCAACAAATTAGAAAACTTCAAAGCAACATCCTGATTCATGAACCGCTTATGGAACATGAGATTAGAAGGTGGTGTGTACAGAGGGAAGCTAAGATTAAAAATAACACAGGAATGGTCACTCACCTGTGTCCTTAACACAGACATTAGTTTTGTCTAAGCCAAGAGAAAACACAAGGTCCAAGGTGTGGCCTTTAACATGGGTGGGTCCAGAGACATGCTGAATAAAATTAAAAGAGTCTGTAATGGATAGAAAGTCAGAGGCCATGCTACAGCTAAGATCATCCACGTGCAGGTTGAAATCCCCAATCATTAAGACCTTCTCTAGTTTAATAATGCAAGCTCAGTAGGTAGTGTGGTCGCCCCATGATGGAAGGTCAGGGGTTCGAATCCACTACCCTGAGGTATCCTGAGCAAGTACCGTCCCTACACACTGCTCCCGGGTGTCTGATTTGTGGCTGCCCACTGCTTCACTAAGTAAATGGGAAAAGACTAATGCAGAAGAGTAATTTCCCCACGGGGATCGATAAAGTACACATTATAATTATTATTCTAAAAGTCTGTAAATCTTGAATAAAACACCAGCGGGCCGGGAGGGCAGTAAATTAAAACATATCTGATGAACAACTTTAAGAAGCCGTGACTCAAAGGAAGGAGGAGGAGTCCATAGCTCTGCAAGCAAACTGTCCGGTGAACAGCAGTGTTCAAAGCAAGTTACTTTGAAAAAGTAATTAATTATAGTTACTAGTTACTTTTTCAAAAAAGTAACTGAGTTAGTAACTGAGTTACAAGATTCTAAAGTAATTAATTACTTGAAGTAACTATTGCGTTACTTTAAAAAAAAAAACATTTAACCCTCTGGGGTCCAGGGTATAATCGGCCATTTTTAACTACTTTTGATGTTTCCTCCACATTTCACCTTTAAAAACTATTTATTTGCCTCGTTTGGTATCATCCTTTTCAGCACAACCTCACGTGTCTGAATTTACAGTTTTGTTTTCATTTTTACGGACTGTATTAACACAATTGATCTAAAATCAGACAAAAAACATAAAATCAGAGTAGAAAAAGTTTTTTTACTGTAACAACCACAAACATGTTTAATGAATCATATTTCATTACTTTAATAGCAAATATAAATTGTCAATTTTAAAATCATATGCACAAGTTTCGCAAACAACAAAGTTATTTGCATCCATTTACCTTTTACCTTGATTTTTTAAATAACCATTTCAAACTATTACAGAACAATCAGCTGTTCTGCATTCAATAAGATGCCACACAATTATTTGTGCCACTCCAAAGAAATAATTTCTGTCCACTATAAAGAAGAACATCACAGCCTGATACCTGCAGGTCTGACAGCAGCAGGTGTATCACTCCTGTTTCTACCTGGAGACAGCAGTCGCCTCAGTGTTCTACACACAACACAAAACTATCCACAACACTACACACTAACTACACAAGACACAACATTAACTACACACTCCAAACACGCTAAACGTCACGAATCTCTCACATCTCAAAACTCGCTCTCTCTCTCTCTCTCTCGCCGTCACTCCTAAAACTTCCCCTGTTTTTTTTTTGTTTGTTTATTTTCTGTTTCTCAAAGGGAGTTAGCTATGCACCAAGCCTATTGTGTGCTGTGCTCTGGTAGGAATCCAGTCTCTCTGAGCACTTTGTTCACAGCTGGTGTGAAGTGGGCGCTGTAGCTCAGCAGTCTGCCATCATAAATCAGCTTGTCTTCTGCCAGGTTGGGTTGTCTCGGAAATCTGCAAAAAAATTGTATGAAACAGGTTTGTATGTGCTTAATACATTATAAGAGAGACAAAAGATTCAGAATAAAATATCTAAAAATTACGTGCTAGCAAAGATGCTGTTGGAAGTATATCTTACAGGTAAAAACACAGTGATAAATAAGTAATCTTTATTTAGACAATTGTTTTGTATAAAGAAAATTTCCAAGTTGTTTGTAATCAGATTTGACTGTAAATACATTCTTTACAATTTTCATCAAATCCTCCTGGAACTCGGTGAGTGTCCTTGTTTGGCTACCATTATAAATTCTTTCTGACCCCAGAAAGTCTAAAGAAACAATAGATCTTAATGCACAAGGGTGAAATCTGTAAAATGTATAAATAATATCCACAATATTCAGAACAAAAGGAACTAAGCGTTTAATAAATTAAAAGTCACTGCTCAGGAACAAAAACATGAATCTGTTGATAAAGAGAGGAAGGTGAAAGAAATATTAGTGTGGTAAACAAACAGATTTAATAATGGGTTTATCCAGTGAAGCACAGCAGAATAGCATTAAAAGGGAAACAGACTATCATGGGATTGAGCACAATTTTTGCTGGTTTTTGTAGCAACTAATGATGAGGAATTGTTTAACTAATTTACCTTGTGTGGTACATCCGTGCTATGTTCCTGTCAATCCAGGAGCAGCCATGCTGTGACTTCAGAACCCCATGAACAGTTGTGGAAAACACTGCTCGAGGGTTGACAATGATCTTGAAGTTACTGTAATGAGTCTCCTCAATGATTGGTTCTTGGTACAGGTGAGCCAAAATGTTCACACCAGTGACATTCTTCCAGTCAGTCTGTGGTGGCAGACTTTGGGATGCTGGAGGAGCCAACATGATATTGATGGGGAACACGTTATTTTCAAACATGTAGCACTTGTTGGCACCATATTTGTTCTCCAGCAGCGGCAACAACTCTACCCAGCTGGCAACAGAATAACAAGATAGTTATAACATGTAAAACCACTTGAACAGCACACAAGCAATTAAAAGATGACTAACCACAGCAGGAAAGTTGAAAACAATTTCAATAATGTGTTTTAAGTGATCTCTCAAAGTTTTTCTTTGGATTTTCCCATATTTCAGGACCAAACCTTGGACTTGACCTTCTACTTTTAATGTTTGTTTGTTTGTTATTTCACTAACCTGGGAATCGTTTAGGCAAGTCTACTAACTTACTATTGGTGTCATGAATCCAAATTTTGGCTGACATTGTCATCAATACACACCAACAGGACACACCTTATTTAATGGTTTTTCTTTGTTTTTACTCCTTTCTACATCGTATATACATACTGCAGACTTCAAATTTATAAAGCAAGATATTTGTCATTCCTATCAAAGAAAAAAAGATAAATAGCTGATCAAAGTGTTGTATAAAAGAAATATAAGAGAACACATTTTATTTATTTATTGTACTTTCAAAATAAAAATCACTTATTCCTAACTTTAATAAGCTGAAGTTCAAATGAAGAAAAATGTTCAACATTGACTGAACAACAAGAGAACTGGTTTTGAGATGACTGGATGTCTGATGCTGACTGATAAAGAATTGACGATTAAGGCAAAGCTTGATGAGGCATAAAAGTCAAAGCCAGATCGTCAGGTTTCCGAATTTTTTTTCAATACATAAAATCGTTCAATAAGAATGTTTTATTAGTTAATGATCAGTTAATGATGGGAGCAGGTACAAAATAATAATATAAAGCAGGGGTAGGCAACTCCAGGCCTCGAGTGCCGGTTCCTGCAGGTTTTAGATCGCACCCTGGGTTAACACACCTGAATCCAATGATTAGTTCATTACCAGGCCTCTGGAGAACTTCAAGAAATGCTGAGGAGTCATTTAGCCCTTTAAATCAGCTGTGATGGATCATGGACACATCTAAAACCTCCAGGACACCGGCACTCGAGGCCTGTAGTTGCCTACCCCTGATATAAAGGAACAAAAAGCCTGTGACTAGAAACCTGGAACATGAAACATAAAAACCTGAGACAGGGAAATACGGAAGCACCGCCGCAGTTGTGGATATCAGGGGGACCACCTCTGTTCACCGGGTGGTCCCATCAACCATGGTCAAAAGGTATGTGAAACCCTGTGACTGTGGTAGAGGAACCACCAGATCAACATGCACATGATCAAAAACATTTGCCAGGGATGAGAAATGGTTCAAAGGGTGCCTTGGTGTGCCTATGGACCTTTGCATGCTGGCATGGAACGCACGCTGCAGTCCATTCACTAACAGACCTGCGAAGGACTGGACATTCAAAGCTCTTCCAAAGAAGAGCTTTGAATGTCCTTCAAGAAGCCTGGAGAACTATTACTAAAGACTACTAAAACATTATAAATATTGACTTTCAACCTCATTGACCTCTCTAATCATACAAACTGTTCTTGTTTTGTCTTATATTTTGTATTTCCATGTATGTTTGCAGCACATGTTTTAGTATATCACTGCACATATTTTCCATCTTCATAATAAACCATGAAAATACACACACATACCTGACGACTTTCTGGGGCAGTATGAGCTCATCTATATCATGTAGAGCCACATATCTGGACTGGTACATGTATCTGTAAAGGCAGTCATTGAGAGCAGGAATCTGACCAAAGTAGTGAAGTTCACCGGGACCATGTTCAGGCAGCCAGCCACGAGACACGTTCACATATCTGGACAGAGACCAAGGAATCACCTCCAGTAAACCTGAGAAAAAAACATTGGAAGCAGTTCAATGTCAGTAATTAAAACTAGACATTACAATTACTGCAACTCCAACCTCAAACTGAAATCATTGAACTGGTGAAATGCATTCTGGATCTTTATGGTGAAGCAGACACATGAAAACAAAACATTACCTGTTTTTTTTTGTCTCAGTGAATAAGACTAGAGTAATAAACAACCTGGAGCAGCAGCAGTGACATGGCTAAGAAACAACCCAACGCAAAAACTTAATGATCTCATTAAAACAACCTAAGGTTTTGGCTGCACTAAAAACAGACAAAACAGACTCTCATCTGTTGCTCTCAAACATGATCCAAGAATGAATGCTAGTTTTCATAAAGGTTTCCAATATTAGAACTGGACTGTGTGACTAAGTGAAAGGCTCTGTAGTTAATTGAAAGGAAGGTTGTGTATAGGAAATGAATTACTGCTGTACCATGTGTGAAACAAAAAAATAAAAAATACATAAATCCACAGAGAACTATCAGTTCTTTTAGGTACTTAGTTTTAGTCATTTTTAATGTTTCCATTAAACATTAGAGAAACCAATATTAAGTATAAATCCAGTTTGTGAGCATGGCCACGGAAGGATCCTGTGAGAGCTCATGCAGTCTTAATACTGAGACCACCAAACAGTTCCAGGTCTCTGTAATACACAGCAAGTCAAGATGACTCACTTGCATAAACAGTGGAAATCTGGAACGTGGAACATGAACATAAAGACACGGGAGAATCTGACAAAATGTGTAAGACAGTTTTAACTTTCACTCATTTCAGCTGCAGCCCTGATGGTGTTTGATGGTCTGAGAGCACATAAACAAGACAAACTTGCAAATTTGATAGATCTATAAGTACAAATTTGTATCCTGTTTTAGAATTATATATCAAGTTTTATAAAACAATACAATTGTTATGAAAATGTTTATAGCCAGCATTAGATAAATAAATACATAAATAAAATAAAATAAACATCAGGTGATACAGCTGCTTCTATTGATGTGTGTCAGACAAAGACCAAAACTTTAGATGGGGGGAATTTGTATATCTGTGTCTGAGTGCATGTGCATGTGTGTGTCCAACTTGAGAGGAGTGCCCTTTCACCAGTTTTAAACAAAAGTCGACAATCCCCAAGCCGACGCAGGTGATCTTGAAGAAGTAGGAGGAAAGGGCAGAGAGTCATACACCGTCTTGTTATCTGGGAGAATTTGTTGTTCCAGCTTTGGCCCTGGAGCTTCCAGCTGGTTAGGGGAGGCCACATAAAGATAGTGGTTGTTCAGGTTTGGTTTCTGCATTCCAGTTCCATCATTGGTTCACAGATCTATCAATTTCCCGTTGCAGAGTCGCAAGCTTCTCTATGATTTTATCCATATTGCGTTCTACCCACGGCATCAATCCAGCCGGCCTTATGGGATTTCGAGCAGCTGTAACCGTTTCCATTAGTCGTCAGTAAACCAGGGCCGTGCCAGCTCCAATCAGCAAGAACCCCGTTATCATGGTTCCGAATAGGTAGATGTCTTCAACGTCCTCCATTCAGCCTGCCCCAAGCCCAGGCTTCTCATTGAGAAGAGGATGTCAATTGCATCAAGAGACCAATTGATCAAATCCGTAATTTCTTGGTTAGAGAACAAGACAGAGAGAGTCTCTTTGAGTTAGACAAGACTAGACAAGGACAAGAGAAGCCAAGCAGGAAAGATGAGGGAGAAAGACGCGACCACCTCTGCCAAGAGCCAAACGACCCAGGTTAACATGTTTAATATGATGTCATTTTCAAAAGAATTGATTGGTCAGTAATGATTTCACACTTAACCTCTTGTTGATCTCTTATCCTAAAATGATCTGCCCCTGAGAAGGTTAGGTTTTCTGTCTATGATGCCATATTGATATTCCTTGTTTAAACACGAACCATTATCATAGTACTGAAAACTCCAGGCTAATCCTGAAGTTGCCTGGAGAAGTCCAAATCCAGTACAAACTGGAGTGATTTATAGAGGAAACTGTAGTAAACTAGTGTATGTTTTGATCACAAAACATTAGTTGTGATTAGCTGAAGGAAGGAAGTTCAGGGTGTTTGGCAACTTCACTCAGTGTTCACTGTGGGAAAATGCCTTTAGCTGGTGATGTGAGGTCATAAGGAAAGACACACTCAGACAGAAAATTATACCATACCCCACCTTTTTGTGTGTAGTAGTCCAGTATTCGTTGTGTTTCAGGACTGCAGCTGGTTTTATAGACAACCACTCTGTTCACTCCCAGTAACTGCAGCATCTCAAGACTCTGTACCAGCTACAATCCAACACATTTGAACAACAAGTGTTAATATGCAAGGCAGGCAGAAATGTCTTGTTTCTTTATTATTATAACTGTAAGGAATACTGGGAAAAATATACCTTTTCTGGTTTTATTTCTTCCTGTCTTAGTCTGCATACTTTAGAGAATGAGTTTCAAAAATCTATTTTTTCTGTCTTCTGAAAGCAAGAAAGCAAATGTCACTGTACCTGCAGCACGTTGGTAAAATCAAACATGGTGGAGATGCAGACGGTGAAGCTGTAAGGAAAAGATTCTGTCTTCTCCTGCTGGTTCTTCACCTCTAAAAACTCTTGGTTGGGATCATCTTAAGAGACCACACAAACATACACTTTTACCATCTTATTTTTGTAACTGAACTCCAATTAGTAATACTTTTTGGGTCAAACAATCTTAAAGTCAAACTGACATATAAAAATGTTTCAGGTATCAGTTACTCCCTGAAGCTTTGTTTTACTGACAGGCTATAGAGTAGATATTGATATTTCACAAAATGAGTGGGAGTCTAAACCTGGTGGTGACATAGGACGCAAAATGAGAAAATCACTAATGTCAACATAATGTAAACCTGAATGGTCATCAAATAGTTCACTTAGAATGTAAAGTTTAGAAAAATTATTGTAGAACCTTTAAAAAATTAAGTAATTATTTACCTTATTATTTATTTACTTTTTACATCAATATTTTGGTATTTAATTGATCTCATGCACACCATGAACTGGGACTAGATGTATTTTTGAAATCCATTCATTAATTGCTGAGATATTTCAACTTAAAGCAACACCAAATTGACAAACAGACTGGCATTTACATTAACATGCCCCACAGCAAGGTTAACATTGTACTTGTACTTGTAGAGTTGGCATCAGCGGAGGTCACGGCAATAGAAGATGGTGTCTCACAGCCTGAGGGGAGGGGGCACATGATGTTTGCTGTCCCATAGGCAAAACCAAAGTGATCAGTGTGGATGTCGGCCACACCATTAGAGAGAAGCTGCTTTTCCTGGCAACGAAAGACACAGCGATAGGCCACCTTCTCACTCCGCAGCACCACTGCAATGGCACAAACCTGGAACAAGAAAAAGGCAGGAAGGAGGGTTTAATATAAGAGAAATTACAGGACAAGCATTATGTTTAACCACTGCCACCAAAGTGCTAATCAACAGCCTTATTGGACTCATACAAGCCAATCATGTTGTGTTACTCATCTGCATAGTAGATGTGCATGACAGAAAATATCCTTGTTCCTGTAAGTGAATATGTTGATAAGTGCTTTTTTTTCTTGGTTTAATCTAAAATAAGGCAAATGTGATGGAAGGACAGGTAAGTGACGGAAGTGACGGACAAGGTAAGCGACTCATGTTGTAACTGACATCAGACGCCGGAGATTTTGGCGGAAAATTAAAGCAAATGATAGTTTAGATTTGAACAAATTCATTTAAGCTTCAGTATTACCAAATACACTTATCAATTGTCTTATAACTAACAATATTTGTCTAAATAATCTCCAACACCCTGGAGAACAACGGGGAGAGTTTAGAGACTCTCCAAGATTACATCGATCAGTGCTTTCAGGATCTCGTGATGAAGAAGGCCCAGTGTGCAGCTTCCCCGGCCAAATCTGAGACGCCGTCGTCGAAAAGACAACGCCCGGCAGATTCCCCCGGCTCAACATCGCCAGCCGGCAAAGATATTGCTGACATACTGGAGTCAATCGACAAGTGATTGTCCAGTTTCGACACAAGGCTGTCCTTGGTGGAGATTCTTCACGGGAATTTAAATTCTTGCGAGAATCCCTGGAGTTCAGCCAGCAGCAGGTGGAAACGCTTGCTGCTGAAAATGCCACGCTAAGGGAGTCGGTGAAATGTCTCACAGAAAATGTTACCCAGCTCAATAGAGAAAATAAAAAAAATAAAGAAACAGTTATGATCTACAAGCTCGTAGCCAGTGTTGGCAAGTTACTTGAAAAAAGTAATCAGTAACTAATTACTGATTACTCCCCCAAAAAAGTAATCCCGTTACTTTACTGATTACTTATTTTCAAAAGTAATTAATTACTTAGTTACTTAGTTACTTAGTTACTTTTAAAAAACACGATTTACAACCTGAAGAGGTGATAAAGTGATAGATCTTTCAGCCCAATTCTACTTTTTCTACATAATCCATCATACAAAATGTAATCAAATGGAAAAGTCTCTTTTTTTAACTTGTTTTATCAGTTTTAATCTTTTAACTTTATGCATCAAGCAAAAATAAAATTATATGCAACATTTTCTGACTTGAATAAATTAGTTTAACATTTAAACCTATTTTCTGCACATTCCAGCACATAAAATAAAAGTTTTTTTGTGTTTACACTCACTCTTTCCAATAGATGCAAGTAAAACACAGCAGAAAGTCAAAGACTCAGCGGTCCTGTTGCTCTATTTTCACCTGTAAAGCAGGACTGACGTAGGCGGAGGTTTACCCTGGTGCAGGTGTGCTGCGGTCAGTGGAAGAATCCGCGAGTTTCTCTGTGAATTTCCCATTACGTCGTTGCACACTTGGTGCTTGCTTGGAAGTTTAGGGGGTTTTTCGCTGTAAAAAGTTTTTTTCCTACGCACAACGGACGCTAATGTTTTTGTCACTTTTTATAGAATCAAACTCAAAGTAAGGTCAGTACTTCCAAGCTTTAAATGCTGCACGCTCATACTCTCTCCCGCACTCGATATATGATCCATTGTTGATCTGCACACAGCTGTTGTCACCAACGGCGCACTTGCTTACGTCACTGTCATGAGACATTCTCGCAAAAAAATCACGGTTTTAGTAACGCAGTAACGCAGCGTTCCTACGGGAAAGTAACGGTAATCTAATTACCGATTTTGCAATAGTAATCCCTTACTTTACTCGTTACTTGAAAAAAGTAATCAGATTACAGTAACGCGTTACAAGTAACGCGTGACTGCCCATCTCTGCTCGTAGCATGCATGATAATCTGGTATTTTCTGGTATTCCAGAAGCCGCTGGAGAGGACGCTGAGACCACGGTAAAAAGCTTCATCAAAACCCACCTGAAGCTGCCGGAGGACACGGTGAAGAACATCGTCTTCGATCGGGTGCATCGCCTCGGCCCCATTCGGACTACGGCTGGGAGACCACGTCCTATCGTGGACAAATTCGGCCACTTGAAACAAAAGCAACATGTGAAAAGCCGCGGCAGGGAATTAAAAGGAACGGACTTCAGCATGAACGACCAGTTCCCCAAAGAGATCTTGGAACGACGCAGGGTCCTCTTCCCAATCCGACGCGGCTTCATCCAGAAGGGCTCCCGCGCTGTCATCGCTGTGGACCGGCTGTACGTGGACGGACAGCTCCACCGCGACCCCAACATTACTCCGTGGCTGTATTAACTTCACACCAGATAGGAATCCGCTACACCCTTTCCCCATCCACTCACACTAACTTGCATTAACATCTGTTTAACTTACTGGTATCAAATCGCATCTTAAGTGTGAATTCATAGCAGAATTAACACCGTCACTCTCCGTCAGTGATTTAATTGGAATGTTTCCATTTTTTTCTTCCTTCTCGTTTTTCTCTCTCTTTTCCCCCTCTTGTTTTTATGCTGCCCACCTTTCTTTCACTGCCTCGATCACCTGCTTCGACACGCATCCACAAACATCCTTTATTTCGACACATACGCATTGTTATATTTCCACTGTAGTGTCAATACACTATTAGAGCTTATGCCGAGTCAGAATGCACACACAATAGTTTGTTTACAAGTTGACTTCTTCTTTATTGGGATAACACAGAAGTAACACACACACATAACTGGGCGTGGTTCCCCCTACTGGCGATGGCTTGTATAGCACAGAATAATTCTTGGTTCATACATAACATCTCCTCCCCACTAAGCTATGCGACCGTGGCACCACCCGCAGAAACATTTCCCATAACCAAAGTAGTATCCTTTTTTTTTTATTACAACATTCATGAAAACTGGAACTAATGTTGCTTTCTGTATGAATTTCTTTTTAGTTGAGAATAATGTCTCTGAATGCCAACACTCTCATTGAACTACTTAATACGCTCACCCATCACGATAACGAGCGGGTGGCTTGGTGACTCTCACTGGGTAACGTCTTACAGACTCTGTAACCTGTGTACAGTCAGTCGGTGATGATTTAAGAGACTGGGGTGTTTCTGGAGGTACGGTGGTCCCCATAACTTGTTCAACAGTCTCTTCCTGCAGAGTTGTACAAGGGTGAAGCATGGTGTCACTACCACTCTGGGCTGGTGACATCTGAGAGCTTGTCGGAGGATCCACTGTGACCTGCTGAGATACTGACTCAGGTCGTGTCAGCATCTGATCCACATGACGTTTCCACACTCCTTGGGCTCCCACATTCACCTTGTATGACACTGGCCCAGTCTTCTCCAGAACGACACCGTGCGTCCACTTGTCCTCTCCCTTCCTATAATCGCGCACCAGGACAGGCTCGCCAACAGTGAACCGTCTGTCCCTGGAGTGTTGCTGTCGGCGTTGTTGTTGCGCATCTTGTGACCGACGCACTGCTCCGGCCACACTGGGCTTCAAAAAATCCAGTCGAGAGCGCAGCTTGTGTCCAATGAACAATATAGCTGGCGTTTCTCTAGTTGTTGCATGGGGAGTGTTGCGATATGTCAAGAGGAACGTGTCAAGGCGTTGTTGCACAGGTGCTGTACCCCTGGAAGCTTTCAGTGCCTGCTTGAATGTCTGCACAAAACGCTCAGCCAAACCATTAGTAGCAGGATGGTACGGCGCGGAGCGGATGTGTTTGAATCCATTAGCTTTCAGGAACACCCTGAATTCCTCAGAACAGAACTGCGGTCCGTTATCACTCACCAGGACGTGGGGAATGCCATGGCGACTAAAGAGACCCCGTAGCACTTGTATGGTTTTACCAGCTGTGGTGCTATCCATAATATGCACTTCAGGCCACTTGGAATGTGCATCTACCACCACCAGGTACATGTGACTTTCAAATGGACCCGCAAAATCCACATGGATCCGTTCCCACGGACAGGAAGGCCACAGCCAAGGGTGTAAAGGTGCTAACCCAGGCTCTTTTTGCATACGCTGACAAGAGTGGCAGGCTTTAGCTTGAAGCTCAATTTGAGAATCAATGCCAGGCCACCAAACATAGCTGCGAGCTAAGCTCTTCATCCTCACCATCCCTGGATGTGCAGTGTGGAGCTCTTTCAGGACATGAGAGCGCAGCTTAGGTGGCACAACCACCCTCACGCCCCACATAAGGCATCCCTGCTGTATTGTGAGTTCATGTCTGCGCATCAGATAGGGTGACAGCTCTTGATCTGTGTCCTTTGTTGCTGGAAAACGTCCAGTTGTTACCATTTCCAGCACACGAGACAAAGTGATATCAGACAAAGTGTCACGTCTGATCTCGGCGACACTGACTGGTAATGTGTCCAGCTGAGATGCGTAGAATACCTCAACCGCTCCCTGTTTCTCTTTCTGTGCAAGGGGCAGAGGTAAACGTGACAGACCGTCAGCATTGGCGTGATGTGCCCCCTTCCGATACTGTAAGGTGTAATTATGTGCTGACAG